ACCTACCTCTTCTTAGCAGCCGCAGCAAGCTACACCACATCCTCCGCCGCTGCTGCCTGGCGGCCCTCGCTCCCGCCGGCGAGCATGGCGACCCACAAGCTTGTCCTCTGAGCACCCTCACCAACCAGCTCTCTTACATCACGCTTGTAACCATGCTGCCTCCTTACCAGCACCAGCACCAAGCTGCACTGTACATCCAATACAATATGTATACAGAGAGCACATTGTGAGTTTCTTTCTCCATCCCATCCTGAGTGTGAACCCAAATATCACTAACCCCACACAAATGGTGACCCCGGAGATTCGCACTCACACAGGATGGAGGAGAAAGATCACCTCCCAGTCTTCAAGCAACATGGAAGACTGGCTTATCCACACAGAAGCAGTTCTCATCGGCTCTACAACTACTGTCTCTACACCGCAGGTTAGGGACACCCAAGAGCAGCTCTGCGACTCTAAGCAGAACAGCCGCTCCTCTTCTGCCCCAAGCACCACGTCCTACCGACCCCAACACACCCGTCCTGCCTCAGACGCCGCCCCGGCCCAGCAGTACCCTGCCGCGGACCCACACACCCCTCTCCCTCTCAGGTACCCCTGCTACTGTCCTGCACCCTGCTGCTGTCGTGACCCAGCTGCTGTCACGAGCCCTCATCCGCTTCTGCTGACGCAGCCCCTGCTCCTGACCCAGGCCCACACACCCCAGCAGGCGCATCTGACGACTCTGTACCTGTCGCGAGTGAAGCACAACATTCATCGCCTCACACACCCTTTTTCTCCCTCTCTACTCCCACAGATGTTGTGTATCTAGACAGTTGTTTCCTCTAGCGGCCGGCTCATCCACGCCCTCGCCGTTATGGCTCACATGTGGCATGCACCGCCCGTTCTGCCTCACATGTGCCATGCAATCCTGTAGAAAACAAGTCTCCACACCGCCTGGAGGGAAGGAGGGAGTATTGGTGATCCTCCCCACAAACGCTTTTGTCGCTGAGTAGCGACCCCGCGAATTCCAGTGTATGCTCGTGGTCTAGGTCAACCAGCGCGCCTTAAATGACGGAGGTCAACTACTAAGCCAGCCTACTTCGCTATATAAGACCTGACCTCGTGGTGACCTACCTCTTCTTCTAGCTACAGCCGCAGCAAGCTACACCACCTCTCCCTGCCACTGCCTGGCGCCTCGCCCTGCCGCGGCGAGCGTGGCGACCCACGTTCCTCTGAGCACCCCACCAACCAGCTCTCTCGCTTGTAACCACGCTGCCACTTCCCAGTGTCGCGATCCCACTACCCTTTATACTTGGGGAGTGAATCCTACCCCGTTATTAACAAAAAAGGAACAAATAGGAACACGCAATAATTATCCTCACCAAAAACCTACTAACTAAATGTACTTGAAAAAGTAAGAACAGTTGAAATAAGTGAATCACAAAAAGGAAGATAATTAATTAATTCAATTTATGTTCTAAAGGGAGTAATGACTAGCAAACATGAATTTAAGGGAATAAGTTAAGTGTATAATAAAATAAGAGTGATGCCGGAAGGAAAATATGCTGTAAGAGTTAGACCAAACAAATATTACTTAACATTACTATATTACACAAGACATACGAAATATATATATACAACAATCACTACAAAATGATTATCCTTACCAAACAGGAGATACCTTACCACCAGGATCCCTTCCTAGGCCTAACTAAACGTGTCACTAATACCTGATACCCTAAGGCATTGCAGAAGACTGATAAAGCACTAGACAAGGGTCAAGGCTAGAGAACGAATGGACACGTTTAACCTATGCCACGGGCTTTTTCGCTACTGCCGAATGCGCGCACGCCGTGGAGGAGCCGCCATATCACGTGATTCAGGACATTTGCTGGATATTTTATATAATTAATTAATATTACCCTGAGTTGACTTAACAGAGTAAGACAATGATGCATATAAATAACATACATAAATATACAATTAACCTAAGTAACTAAAACAATAATAATATAATAAGTACAATTAACAATTTATTAATAGCTTGTATGAAATGTAGGCTGAACATATGCCCCACGCTATGCAGTTCCGAGCGCTACAGGCACGTGACACCAGCACCAAGCTGCATTGTACATCCAATATGTATACAGAGAGCACATTGTGAGTTTCCTTTCTCCATCTCATCCTGAGTGAACCAAACAAAACATACCCCACAGTACAACCTCGGTGCAGCCTCTTATATTTCGTAACATTGAATCTTAACAGCCATTCTTTCGACCACTCCTGAAGTTGACAGAGTTCGTTTAGTTCTTAATTTTCCTAATATCTTGGCATCATCCACGAATATTTGTATGACGGAGTGTACAAGTGACATGTTTCTTGCGAAACAAACAAACAACAACGGGCCAGTACACTCCCTGGTGTGGCCCGCTTGTCGCGGGTACACAACGAATTTATGCTATTAATCACCACACACTTCTTGGCTCATGAAGAAAGTCTCGGATTTATTCTAGGATACTTCTGACCTGTATTTTCCAATTTAAACTTAGCATTTCATGGGTATTTTTTGGAAAGTCTTGGCAAATCCAAATCTCTATTGTTGATATTGCCACCATGTTCAAGGTTCTGATTCCAAACATCAGCACCTTGCAATTGCAAAAGCAGGACTGTCCCAGCATAAACCCGTGCTGGTATTCCTTACAAGAAGTGTTTGTAGTAGAGGTTTCATCATGGTATCTCGTATAATGCTATGTCTAGTATTCTTTACACACTGGTGGTCAAGCTCACCAGTTTTGAATTATTTATTGATAATAATCTCCTATTTGAATATGGGACTCACATATTTATTTTCAAGTCACTGGAACCTTTCGCTCATTTATGCATTTGCAGAACAGTATTTTAAGAGCTCCAAGAACTTGATGCACAATTTTCTTAACACCACGTTGACACGTCAGGCAAGGTTCTTATGGACCTTAGCTTGAACAATTATGTTCCTAATACCCTCCTCTGAGAATATAATATTTGTTGACTACACTGTGTCTGTTTTTCTCATTTGCAGGAAGATTGTTTGCATCCTCTCTTGTGAAAAATAATGCTTAATACTGTGTGATGATATCATTATATCATTATACAGCCTCATTGACAATTTTTGGAGTATAACACTTGAATGTGTTGCTGTCCCTTTATTCTGTGGCAGCTTGTAAGTGAGTGTGAGGTCGGACAAAGACGCCATTAAGGCAGGATTTTACATGCTGCCCTAAAAAATTAGAGGCTGATATAATGATACATGAGTGACTACACTATAATTTTAAATATAGTTAACCCAGATCTTAAGATTTGCATTAAATGGGAGACATCCTGTTTGTTTTTATAATATCATGTACAGTCACAATCCAAAGTTTCGACACCCTCCTGGCTGTGTTCGCCAGTGCCAGGGAGGAAAAGGCTGGGGATCGACCACTACTATGATGAGGTTCACATTCCACCACCACAACGCTCTGAGACCTGCGAACAGGAAGGAAACTTATTACGAACTTTGACATGGCATCAACTTGCATAACAAATGCATTATAACATTGTGCCATACATAACAATAACATGTTAAGATTGGAGCATGATAACTTTTGCCGGTCCCAAACCTGTCGCTCACTAGATGCGAGTCCTCGTATTACACATGAATCATCATGGCAGCATATTTCACAGGGTGGCACGAATTTCGTCAAGAGGGGGGAGGTCAGTCGACAAGGTGAGGCAATGCCCACCCCTAACTGCTATTGTTATGTGTGCCAATAGAATTAAATTTTTATGCAAGTGCATGTCATGTCAAAATTCGTATAAAATTCTTTCCATGTCGTGTGCAGTGAGTCTTGATGTTGTGATGGTAATGTCTGCGTCCGATCACCCAGCCTTTTCAACCCTGGCCTTGGCAACACCAAGCCAGGGGGGTGTCGAAACTTTGATTATGACTGTACATCTAAATTTTGGCACAGTCTCTCTCCCCGAACAAGTCTCCATCCTGAAAACACCTATGCACATCCATCCTAGTTCATCACTTCCATCCTGGGCCATCCAATCCATCTCATTCTCATTGAAAGCTAAGTCCTTACAAGATAATTTAGGCCTACAGATGCTTAGGTAGGACAAAATATTTGTGAAGCCAAGAGTTAAACATTCCCTTTCAAGGGCAAAATTAATCTTCCCCAATTCTACCTTTGTTTAAGAGTCTCTATGCTTCCTAACTCTCACCTTTCTCAATGTACATACATATACTGACTGAAGTTTATGTGTTGTAACGTTAGCCACTGGCGAATTCTTCTCGCGGATAGTAGTGTCTTAATCATATTTAGTTCACTGGTCATATAAACTACTGTTGATATTATTATTTAACTTTTTTAAGATTCATTACCAATGAAGGTGAATCATAGTAAATTTGCTCTTTATAGACAAGACTTGGGCCTTCCACTTGTGATAGAAGGACCAGTACTCAGGTTCATTCTGCAGAGCTGGATCCACTTCACCAATCATCTAGCGTGAACAGGTGTGGGAGGCACTGCAGAGGATAATTTTATCTCCATAGACCAACACAACAGCTTCAGCCACTTCATTAGAGACAAACTGCCATCTTTCATAGTGTAAGTATGTGGGTTATTGTTCCATCATTATTTAAATACAATATGACCTCAGAAATCTGATTCTATAAGGACTACCAAAGATGGATTGAAAGACCATTCTGTAAAGGTAGTGTTGGAAACAAAAAGTCAAATCAAGTTTATTTGTACAGAAGTTACAAGTAGTAGGACACTTGAAGAGTAGCACTAGAGTCATAGTGAGGCAGTGGTGGAGTCATAGGACACCAGTGAGGCAGTGCTAGAGTCATAGTGTGAGGCAGTGCTAGGATTATAGGACACCAGAGGCAGTGGTATAGGACACCAGTGAGGCAGTGGTGGAACTGTATGTGAAGGAATCATAGGTACACCTAGTGAGGCAGTGGTGGGATTACAGACACCTAGTGAGGCAGTGGTGGATATAGTGAGGCATTGCAGAGTCATAGGACACCTAGTGAGGCAGTGGTGGAGCCGGAGGGGTGGAGGAGGCAGTAAGTGGAGTCATAGGGACACCTAGGTGGGAGTCGAGGCACCTTGGTGAGGTGGGAGTGGCGCAGAGTCATAGGACACCTAGTGAGGCAGTGGTGGAGCTTAGCAGGCAGGTGAGGACACCTAGTGAGTGGTGAGTCATAGGACACCAGTGGAGGTGAGTCATAGGACACCTAGTGAGGCAGTGGTGGTTTGACACCCCATGAGTGGTGGTGGAGTCAGAGACACCTAGTGAGGCAGTGGTACAGAGAACTTAGTGGGGCAGTGTGAGCCTGGGATACCTAGTGGCAGTGTGGGGTCAGGACACCTAGTGAGGCAGTGGTGGAGTCATAGGACACCTAGTGAGGCAGTGGTGGGGTCATAGGACACCTAGTGAGGCAGTGGTGGAGCTATAGGACACCTAGTGAGGCAGTGGTGGGGTCCAGGGACCTAGTGAGGCAGTGGTGGGGTCATAGGACACCTAGTGAGGCAGTGGTGGGGTCATAGGACACCTAGTGAGGCAGTGGTGGGGTCATAGGACACCTAGTGAGGCAGTGGTGGGGTCATAGGGACACCTAGTGAGGCAGTGGGGGCTGGGGACACCTAGTGAGGCAGTGGTGGGGTCATAGGACACCTAGTGAGGCAGGGTGTGGGGTCATAGGACACCTAGTGAGGCAGTGGTGGGGTCAGGACACCTAGTGAGGCAGTGGTGGGGTCAGGACACCTAGTGAGGCAGTGGTGGGTCATAGGACACCTAGTGAGGCAGTGGGGGTCATAGGACACCTAGTGAGGCAGTGGTGGAGTCATAGGGACTCTTGGAGTTTGAATGCCTTACAGTTGGTTTATTTTGTTTTGAATTTATTGTACTGTTCAGAGTTAGTCGAGTAAAAATCCGAGTACCCGGAGGAAAATCTGTGGTGTTTGGCAGGTTCACTCTACGTAAAATCCATCTCATGTGTGTACGGGCCAAGCAAGATCTGAACCCCGGCACAGTATTGAGAGTTATGCATGTTACCGGTGTGTTTGTACTAGCCTTTACTGAGGGTGGCTGCCTGGGCACTGCTTTCCTAATGGTCCAACAGGCCTTCCGTGAATACCTCTTGTCACGGGATATAATCTATGGTTAATAATGTAATTTAGTGAAAGAAATACCGAACTTTTAAAACACCAAAAAGTAAGATTACGCAAAAATGTTAACCATAAATTCCAATCGTGAACAAATTATGAATAATATATGTAATATAGTTACTAGGCCCGAAATCATTTATGAAGGGTAATTAAGCAGATAGTAATTTTCTTATAATTATACTTAAAATTAATATTGTAAGTGCTTAAAACACAGCTATCACTCGTATGTTTGTTGATTTTCTATATGTTTGCTGTACTTATTGCTTTAATGATTTTAAGGATATTAAAAGAAACGACAACTTTATTATAATTTTCTCTATTTTTTAGGATTTTTTATTTACTCTATTCTACAATTTAAAATTCCTTGTAGGTGGGAAGGGCATGGAGGAGTGGAAATTACGGGTAAAAGCGCGGCGAACACTGATGTTACGGCATTAAAATTACGCCTCTTGGTGCATTAACGTCATAATCATTTTCTCACCGTAGTCAGTCCGGCTTCACCTAATTCCCTCCCGCCGTCTTTGTTCCTTCCTTTCCAACTGTATAAATTGTGTTCCATTACTCCGGATCCTTTTAATAAAATAATTGCGGATCTTATTAAGTTTAGAATTACGTATCAAGGTTCTTTTGCTTACTTTCGTTGGGTTAGGGGTTAGTTTGTTGGGTTTCCATCTACCATCAAAAGTAAATCTGCGATTTGGTTAAAAAATTTGTAAACACTAATGGTATAATATTAAACATATATAGAGCACGATAATCAGGAACCTACCTCATAGGTTGGGTTTGTTAGGTCAGGTTCTACTAGGTTCTAGTTGGTTCAATGCATTGTCGTTTCCATTTCTGTTTAATATCATGCTGATAGTGTGTACCAAAAATTTAAACCAAATCGCACATTTCCTTCTGGTGATCGCTGTTTTGTAAACCGTACCATCAATATTTATAAACAAGTAAACACACCAAAAGGTTACATAAATTCACTGATAAATCACAGTAAAACAGAAAATTAATAAGAGCACACTGATGGTCTCAATCGAATTATTGCAAGTAACGTTTGGTAAGATCACTGGCCAAGGAAATAAATGTCGTGTCTAGTATAAGTATTGATTGGAAAGTTCGCAGGTAGGACACAATTACTACACTAAGTTTGTGTCTAAGGCTATCACGTCCCTAGACTTAAGAGAATAATACACATAAGTGTGGCTTAGTGTAAGTTAGCTGGCCGTGATGAGACAGCAGAAAGCTCTGGTTGACACGTTGAAGAGGGATTTCGAAATATGTCGCTCCGCAGCTGAAAGGCATTATATCAATTCGTATTGGGGCGTGATTGTTGTTACGTAATTTTTCAATTCTAAAATGTGATTGGTTACTGCAGTGGTATCAGCTGGTGTTCTGGAAACATATCGAAGCGCGGGGAAGACAAATAGTCCATGGATCAATTTGGCTTGTTTCTTGAGACTCGGGAAAGAATGGGCGGTGTTTGATCCGTGGTTACTTCAGTTATTGGGTTGACATCCCATCTCTGAAACCTTTTTCCTCTCAGTTCTTGGAAATTCTCTATCTTAACAATTTGTCAATCACGTATCATGTCCAAACCAACACATCTCCATGGACACACTCTAGACCTAGTTTTGTCTCTTGCATTAGATGTTGCAGTTGACCTGATCGATCCAACAGGCTCTGATCATGCTTTGGTTACTTTTGGTTCTATTGTCCCAAGACCCCCCCCCCCCTTCTTACAGTAAAACAATTACTTTCGGGAAATAAAGAGACATTGACCAGACCATAATTGAGGAAGTCGATCATTCTTTGAACTGTTTTGTCCTCTGATGAGATGGTTTAAATTACATAATGATATCTTCCAGTCCATTTCAGACCGTTATTGTCCAAAGGTCACGAAGGAAATTAAAGCACGAGATGACTCTTCATGGTATGACTCATCTTTAAGTTCTCTTCGTGAGGATCATTGAAGTGCTGAACGAGAGTGGTGTAGGAGGCGAACAGACCACACTAGATCAGAGTATATGACTGTGCACAGGGCTGTTGTTTGTTCAGTGTGGGTAGGCAAGTTGAATACAACATAAGTAAAGTACAGTTGCCTCTTGTGACAGTGATCAGAAAAATTCGTATGCGGTTATGAATGGGCTGTTTGGCCAGAGGTCTGGAACTACTATGCCTTCTTCCACTTCAGATGCTCAGCTTGCCTCAGATTTTTCCTTGACTTTTTTTATGGCAATGATATCACATACAAAATTACCTTGAAGGTGTTTTTATTTCGGAATTTTCAGTTGAATTTCAGCCGAGTTATGCCATAACCTCACTCTTTCAGCCGAGTTATGCCATAACCTCACTCTTTCAGCCGAGTTATGCCATAACCTCACTCTTTCAGCTTAGTTACGCCATAATACTCTTTCAGCGAGTTACGCCATAACCTCACTTTTCACCGCTTTGTCCTGTTGAGATGAACAACTCTCTGCGCTAAATCACCGACTCAAAAGACTTTATGTCGCGTAGATCCTATAAATGTGTCTAGGTACCACTCTGCTTACGAACATGCTGCAGACTTTCTTTGTAAGTCACAAATAAATGATTTACAGGGGGCAATTTTGTGCTACCTGAGAAACAGGATTTATTGCGTCTACTTTTAAGAAACCTGATCATGATACTGAAAATATGTCAAATTATCGTTTGGTCTTTAATCTCTCATTCTTATCAAAGATCACAGAGAGTCCTATGCTGAATCACTTACTTCCTCTGTTAAAGAGAGATGGAGTAAGCCCTCTGGTTCAGTCAGCCTATAGGAAGCATCATTCAACTGAAATTGCCTTATGTAAAATTCATAACAAGAAATCCTCCTTCGGGTTTTGCTGGATCTCTCTGCAGCTTTTGACCTAGTAGATCATCATCTGTTACTTCAGGATCTTTGGTCGTTTGGTGTCTGTGAGAATGCACTCTCACTGCTTGAGTCTTATTTGTCAGACCAATCTCAATGTGTGATGGTTGGTAGAACCATTTCAGACCCGTCCTTTGCAGTTTGGAGTCCACAGGATCACTTCTGTTTACAGTCTATACCAGTAGTCTTGCATCTCTGCTGGATACTCATGGTGTTGCCTACCATTTCTATGCTGATGATCAACAGCTTTGTGTAAAAATGATAAATGTTGAGGAGATAATGAAACCCTTGATGCCCGATATTAAGATTTGGATGACTAGGAAAAAAAACTTCAACTGAATGACGGCAAAACGTAAATTATTGTCATCCAAGGAATTAGGAGGGAGACGACACAGATGATTCTGGCTCTTTAAACTTTGGGGAAGTACAACTCAGTCCTGTCGAATCTATTTGTAATCTTGGGTGAACTTTGACTCAAAACTGAATAATAAGAACATATAAATTCAGTAATTAAGAGTTGCAACTTTCATATTGGAAATCTATATGTTGTTGAACAGTTTTGGATAGATAGTGTCTTGTGACACTATTACATTCACTTATTTTGTCTCGGGTTGACTATTGTAACTCTTTATGGTCTGTCTACAGTACCTAAGTATTTACTGAAGAAAGTTAAACAGGGTTGTCAGGCTTAGTTTTGCTCTCCCACCGAGGACTTCCACTACCCCATTATTGATTTAATTACAGTGGCTTCTAGTTAAAGCTGGGATGGTCAAACTCTGTCTAATGACTTTTAAGACACTAATGTTTGGTGAGCCCAAGTATTTGACCAACCTACTGACTATACATTCTGAAGTTATTTTGTGTAGTATGTGATGATCCTTCATGCCCTGAGGAGCCTGCCCGATCCTTTTCCTATACAGTACCCAGATTGTATAATTGGTTCCCTCATCCATGAAGCAGCTGACTTAGTTTAGAAACGACTTAAGACCTTTTTTAAGTTTATAATCCTTGACAGCTACAGTGATGGAGAATTACAGGGTTTAGGAAGAATCTAAACTTAGGGTTATGAATGATATGGTCAAACTGTCACTTTTTGTGATAAAGAAATACTGTACTACAATAAAATGTAGCACTGTACAGCATTTATATTTATTCTCAATTTTGACTTGGTAGTGTATCGGGCGCTAGTGAATTCCTTAGAAAAACTGACGCTTTTGAGAAACAAATGACCAGCTATCATTATTATATTATTATTATTATTATTATTATTATTATTATTATTATTATTATTATTATTATATTATTATTATTAGAAATAATTTTGACGTAGATAAGACTTTAATGATGGAAAACAGGAACTAATAACTTTGCCTTATTATTTTTATTGATTGATTTATTTTTACGGGATTAGCCCACGGGCACAGGTCACTGACCCACATCGGGGCCTGGGGGCGAAAATGTAATAATAAAAATAATAATAGAATGATGATAATGATGATAAAGAACCATAAAGAAATAAAAAAATAAAAAAGATCAATATTGAAACAATGTATGTATGTTGTGTTGCCATAGTAAGAAACACTTGAGACCCTGCAATTGTGTGTAGAAATAGGAAAAGTCAGATCAACAACCTGGGACTTGGTCATAATTTTCATGATGCCACATGGCAGCAGGGTCTACCATTACATGTAGACAACACATTTTGCTTCCAATATCTTCCCAGGCGGTAGTACCTCCCTGTTTAGTAGCTGCCTACTACCTGCTACCTATGATGATGACCATCATATAATTTCTTGAGGGTGATATATACTAAATGAAACACACCCAGAAAACATTGCTGATGCAGTAGTTCTTCCATTCTAAAAATATGTTATTGGAAAAGTTACTTATGAAACTTTTAATCATCAAGTCAAATTTAGTTTAAGGCCAGTACAGTATAGCCTTCCCAAATGATAGGAATCAGTTCTTATTTTAATTTTCACAGAACTATATTTATTTATATTAACTTTTGAAAGTTAAAATAATGAATGAGATATTAAGGAAAATAAAATCACTGATGTACATAATCAATCAACTGTTTTAACCTCAAGTGTATACACATTTCAGTTGAAGGTGTGGTGGTACAAGCTGGCTTGGCCTGATCCAGATTCAAGTGTACAGTTCCTTCAAATAATGTTGGAAAACATGTATTCCTCTGTATATATTATGTTGGTGCTCTGTGTGAGAGAGCAGATGATATGCTTGAGGAAACATCAAGGGTTATCTCATTTGCCAAAAGGTAAGATGTGAAATAATTTACGGAATATTATTATTACTTTATTCACTTTTATTTCAACAAAAAGTTAACCTCAATAAAATAAAATTAATTCTTTGGTAGTTTTTAACATACAATTAACTGTTTCATTCTTAGGTTTGTGTCGGAGCCCAGAATGTTGAACACATTCAAAAGGAAATGGAACGACTACTTGAAATCATTGGCTTTGACTCACAAGTTCATAAAATCTGCCAAGCTGGTGGCTCAAGCCTTGTTAGCCAAATACGAGCCAGTGTGGATACATTGTTTCTTAGCAAAGCAGATGACATGAAAGTCAAAGCCAAGAGCTTAGGGATACAATCATTTATAAGGTATGAAAAACATGCTATAAAAGGTGAGTGAAAAATATGATAATGTGTTACATCATGGGTGTTCAACATACAAACACGGATGGAGTGGTTAGAGGGCTGTGGCAAAGAGTAATGGGGGCAGGGAGAAGTTACAAATGGATAGTATGCTTCACTTGTTCTTTCTCTGAATTATACATTCCATCTACCAGTCTTTCTCTGCCCATTCTCGGTGTGCTTAATATCAAATGTGTTTAATATCAAATTAATATTAAGTACTGTATAATTTACTGATTTTCTTTTTTTATAAGAGGTTAGTTTTGCGGTGCATTGATAAAATTCTCAAATATTTTTGTTTATTGTAGATTACATTGATTTTTGCAAAGTGTTGTTATTTATGCTTTGATTATGCTTTTTAATTCTGACAATTGTCATACAAAAACATCATTATTTAATTCAACAGATGAAATCAACTATTGAAAAGTGTCTTGACGAAGCGTGTAGTGTGGAAGCTCCTCACAGCTGTTGAAGGAGGTGCTCGACCCTCCTAACATTCTTCACAATGGACTCGAAGATAACAAATTTCAAGATTACCTCTGGAGATTCTGGAAATTGATTTTGAAGATTTTTGTACCAAAGTAGCTAATAATTCTAAGGTGTGTAAAACATTCTCTTACTGAACATATTACTTAATGAAATATTTTAATCAGCCAAAACCTTTCCATTCTTTATACAGTCGGGTTTACAGAGGTGAAAAATGGAACTTCTAATATTGTTAGAGAGCATATTATAGAACACTGTATAAAATATTACAAGAAATCCTGTAGTCAACATCTTCACACCTCAGTCTGGAGGTTTGGGCCATAATGATGTTACTCTTTGTTTTCGAAGGCGTATTATGAAACCCTGATAAAATATTACAAAAAACATTCAACTTCTTTACACCCTCAATCTGGAGGTTTGGATCACCATAAGGCTAAAAATGAAGGTACTGTATTTACCAATATCTCGCATACTTTCACCTTTTGCCAAGTTAGAAAATTAAAAAGATGTGGCATATTTTTATATTAAAATACTGAACACTTTATATATTAACCTTTACAATACAGTCCCCAATTTTTTTCTAGAATACACTTCCTTCTTAATCACCTTGAGATTATGAAGATGAATACAGATGCCCTCATTTCCCATTTCTACCACGAACGATGCAATGAACAACATGAAGAGTTACTCCCCAAGAAAGGTCTGCTTGTCATTAGAGTAAGAATATAAATATATTTGTTTTAATTATTCTTTGTTTAATATCAAATCATATGAGTTACTGTACAGCATTTTGTGCTCTACTCTCATAAATCCTCATAAGAGGCAGCCACGAACTGGTGCCTGCACTTCGAGGAATAAGATTTATCTTTTCTTTTATCTTTTCTTTAAACTTTATAATTTTCTAAGTGTACTTTAGTTTTCTGTTACGTTTCTTTCTGTTATCGACATTTTTTATATTTTATTTAAATTCCTTTAATTACTTTTACTTCTTAGTTTCTTATGCTGTACAGATTCTCTTAGATACTATGTTCTGATCTTCGGCTTTCCTGGGAACCTCATGTTCACACAACCTTCAAGATTCGTGGTAGGCCTCACCACCCAGGTCTTATATCAGAATATAACAAAGCTAGCCTGTGAAATGCTTTGAGTATCATGGCGATGGCTAGGTTTGTGGGTTCAGTTGCATTTAATGGTACCAAGAAAGAGGAGAAACAAAAGTAATACTACAGTGATAATGATAATCCAACATTCATTAAAGATTATATATTAAAATGAAGTTAGTTTTATGACTACTTTCAATAATGCCAAAGACAAGGACCAGTCATTAATGGCTGACTTTATACTGAAGACACTTTTATTTTACTTTTATTATCTTCTTTGCCTGTGACTCGGCTCGTTAGCCGCTTGGGCAGTCGATCGCGTCTGTCATGCCTTTTGGCAAGTACTAGCTAGGCGTGCATTGGCTCCTGGATATGTTCGCTCCAGTATTGGTCAAGTCTTGTCTTGAAAGAGCTCACACTCGGTGCCGTCACAACACTTTATGGCAGATCGTTCCAGGAGTTCACAACTCCTCTCCAAACAGTTTGCCCTCACATTTTTCTGGCATTGTGGCTTCTAATCTCGAGGTGTGACCCTTATGGGGTGGGCATCTGCAGCTCTAGTTATGGACACTCGGCTGAGTAGTGTCTCAGTTAAGTCACCTTGGCCTTTCCATTTGTAGTTAAGCTAGACAGTTGCAGGCGCTCCAATCTCTGGATAACTGCATATCTCGGGGACCAGGCGGGGAAGCACCTGTCCATTCTTTTAGATAAAATATTCAGTATAATTTTAGGAAAAAATGGTGTGTCTAACTTTATTAGAACTGAATTTATAGATTCTGGTATTAACATTTCTTACATTTTCATAAAATAATTGAGTCCCCGTCCTCATATTATGTCGGCATATTTTGTTTAAAATCTTTTATTGAAATGGTATTGTGAAGCATTTATTCAGGATCATTATGGTATCAAATTCTCTCTTCACTGTTAGAACAGATATTCTTCGCTATAGTTAGGAGGTGGCGGTGAGGGTGGGACAGAGCGACTCTTGCTCCCTCAATTGACTGCTTTCTTGAAGGGTCAGTCCTCTCCCTCCCTCTCACTCATTTATCTAACGCAATTAGAGCAGATGTTGTGAATAAAGTTTATTCAGTACACCCATTGGATGGCCGCAAATAGTGCTATAGTTTTCGTCTTTATTTAAGACATCTTCAGGTCGAGACCACTAACCACCCCCACCTCCACCTAACATTGATCAGGTCAGGTCAGTAACAGAGACCACCAATGTGACCACACCTCCATCACAACATTATCTTACATATTTTCATAAAATAATGAGTCCCCATCATCATTATGGTGTTTTGTGACTGTGAAGTGAGCAGTGTAACTTTGAAAATGTCTGGCAAGCGTTTTGCTCACCATCTTTAAGGCCATGAAGAGGCTACACCTCCAGTCCCCACTCTTCAGATTCCCCAAAGTCTGTGTGGGACTCAGGTTGATGTCTCCTCCACCTTAGAGCCCCTCCAAGAGGGACATGTAATGACAACTAGACTTGTTCTTAATGATGTGGTGAGTGTTGTTTAACTGTGTAGTAGTGCTGGTAGTACGTTATTCTATGATTTTTCTTCAGTGGTACATGTGGGTGTCTGATTAGCAGAACGTATCCTATTGAACCCCATATTATAATGAAACTGATTTACGATATTTTGACCTGCGATTGGGTTTTAGGGACCCAACCCCATCGCAAATATTGGTTTACCTATATATATCATAAAATCTATACTGTTTTGTGAAATAAATAGTCAAGCAGCTTTAGATTAATGCAATACTCACAAGGTTTTCTGTTAATTCATTGTTATAGTCATCTGAATATGTTGTTTCTTACCCAATGCTTTTATAAATATGCGGCTTTGCTAGTGAGATTGTATAAATATGCGGCTTTGCTAGTGAGATTGTTCTAAACCACTTGATCCTTGGATGGTATATCACAAACACTTTCTCGCTTCACATCTGAGTAATGAAGAATTCTATTATTTGTCTCATCTTCAGTCATTGCATTTATTACAGACATTCTTCAGGATTCAGACCATTTGGCTGTGAGGTCATCATGGCACGGGATGTGGTGTTGAATGATCAAAATCCTGGTAATTACCTCTGGAATATTTTGTTAAAGTGCAGCTCCACCCAAAAGTATGCTTCCCCAAATCTATAAAGTCAAGCACAAGAGTCATAAGAAGATCCAGCCACCTATGATGAAGAATTTGAATGTAAGTTTCAGTTACATTACCACAGTCATGCATTTGATTACATTATAATTTAAACAGGATGCAAAGAAAAAATAATAATATGGAAATGGTGAGCAGAGAACAGATTAGGGTCTTCCCAGATGGTATGTGTTATGATTGTAATAATTCAGCAACATAGTCAACCAGAAGTTTCACCAGCGTATACAAGGCAAAGTTTGCTCAAGATAATAGTATTTAATTAGATAGTCATCAATTTAGTATGGTAGAGGGTAGGTTAAAACGAACAGTGACAGTTTCTATTATACGCAAAAACAACTATTTTTAACAAAGAACCAGCAGGAGTACCAAGAAACCACATTAGTACAATAATGATTGACTTTAGTTATTATAAATTCCACTTGTGCTGGCGATGGTCATATGAATAACAAGTATATAAATGTTTGTAAAGTTTGTTTGTCTCGTCACTGGGGAAGGAGTAAACGTTTCCCAGTTAAGTTAGAGGAGCTGATATGAGCTGATATGTACTGTAGGTATGACACATGGAGGACTCGTGAGTAGACCCAGCTAAAACTTGTAGCTTAGTATAGATGACCAGACAGCCGAATATGTTGGTGGTTTTAAAGTGGAGGCGAGGTGGAAGAGAGTGAAAAGTTGGTGACCAGTGGGAGAAGTGAAGTGTGGGGGTAGACATAGGTGTCTTGGCAACACAGCATACCTGATTGTTAAAGAACGTAAAAATGGAGGAAACTGCAGCTGGCATATTGGCAACTAGGCACCTGTTTACCCAATCCCTATCGCTCATATATCTGTCCAACCTATGTTTGAAGCTATCCAGCGTATTCGAGTTAATGATGATGTTTGGTAACTTGATCCACTCATCCAATACTCTATTTCCAAACCAATGTTTACTTATCTCACGTTTAAATCTAAACAAAGGTGATATTATAAAGGTACTGAAACTATCAACAGGAGTGAACTCGTTGTGAGGTATTAATGTATTATACTGTTATGTTCATATTGTATTGTGTTATTACATTCTGAAATGTATGGAGAATCATTTTTATTATTTTGTTTGTCAATTGTTGAACTGCCCCCGTGGTTGTTAGGACCCGTGGTCCGCATTTTTTTATTGGGCACTCCCCTACATTCTTGTGTAAG